TAACTTATAATCCTTAGTATATTCGATCTGGTTTATATAGTTTAACGATATTAGCTGTTCCGTCTTTAGAATACAAAACTATTAATATTTGAAACTGTTAAAAGTATTTATCGGCATTACTAAGGATTATAAGTTACTAACTTACTAAGCAATATCAATATCAATATATTTTGTGCTTAGTATAATTGAATTTATATATATATATATATATATATAGAGAGAGAGAGAGAGAGAGAGAGAGAGAGAGAGAGAGAGAGACACATACAAACACATGTTAACTGATCATATAAAATGTTTTTATTAGTCACGTATGAACATATGAATGTACTTTAATTTGGCAATATGAAGATGTAATGTACCTACTTGTGATATACATGAAAGTTAAAATTATATTTATAGTCTATTGTCAAACGTGGAGAATAAAAAATATAATTTTGGGCTAAATTTGTTAATTGTTATTATTACTCCTCTTTATCAATTTATCTCAAAATAATCTAGTGAAATATGATAATAAATAAGGGATTGCATTTTTCAAATTACCAAGTGGAGCTTTTGCCACTGGCAAATCGCGCTAGTGATTTAGATTGAAGTAAGGCTGCGTTTGGAAACTTCATTCTGAGGGTGGAGCAGGGTGAGCAGTGGTGGGGAGCAGGTAGACTCCGGGTGCAAAGCGTTTCCAAACAGTAGACCATAGGTCTGTTTGTTTTCACTGTACCGCTGAACTAGTGCAATAAGTTGAAGTGAGAAAACATACTTGTCTCGATTCAACTTATTGCACTAGTTCAGCGGTGCAGCGAAAACGAACAGACCTCATATAAGCTACAATTGGTAAACTTTTACATTAGATTACCCTCTTCGAGCGACTATGATCTTGACATATGTTGTTAAGGAAATGACCCTGAATAATAACCAAAAGGTTTTATGCGTCACGCTTAAAGTTTTTCCACTGGACTACTAATTAGAAATTTTGTTTATAAACAGGCGGACTCCGGTAGCCCGTAAGTGATTGGCTAATTTAATATAAAAATTTCTGATTAATAGTTCAGCGGAAAGACTTTAAGTACCGGTCGACGTAAGTGGATGCGTGTAACGTATTTCCGTTCTTTGGTTAATATCTTTTTAATCAATTAATGAATAGTGAGCGACGGGTAAAACCTTCGGAAGGTTACTCAAGAGGATGATCTCGACTATATATATATATATATGTCAAGGTCAAGGTCACTGGAAGTTCCACTGGAACTGGAAGTGACACTGGAAGTGGGTACTTTATAGTAAATATGTGTAAATATCTCAAATTTCTTTTGTTAATAACTTTTTAACGATCAATGAACGACGTATAAAACCTTTTGATTATTACTCAGAATCATTTCCTTAACAACATATATCAAGGTCATGGTCATCCGAAGGGGGAAACCTAACGTAAAGGTTTATCCTACAATTTATCACTCACTTATGTCAAATATTAGGAAGGATCTTCGAGAATAGTAAGTCGGTTGATTTTTTCTTGGTACATAATTTATGTCTTCTATGAGTTAATTTTACCGATTCCAATGTTGCAAAATAATACCGTTTTTTTGCAAATTCAACTTGATATCGTTATGAATCTGCTTCTAAAACGTGTTAACAAACTGAATATAATAATAAGTATATAATAAATATAATAAATAATAATATAATAATAAATAATGATAACTTATGTAACATGAACTATAAATTTGTGTTGTCAGCGTATTTCGGAACACATTTAGATACCGAATCGTATCACACGATTGGAGAAATTTTTGAGAACTTAATTACAAAATTCGGCTCTGTAGTGCACATTGTACATTTGCAAGGATTCCATTAGTGACGGTCCACAAAAAGTATTTTAAGTCTTAAGCTTTAAGAAATTGATCAATCACTGTTAATTATTCCCTTCATATTCGACTGTGATTGATCAATTTCTTAAGGCTTAAAATATTTATTGTGGACCGACACTTAAATGATGGGCCTTAAGCCTGTTCTACAATACGTTGTATGTCGTCGGAAACACAGTCGAAACGCATCCAATAACGAATATAATATTACGAAGATATACAGTAAAATAGCATGTCTTCGGAATCCCCTTAATTATTAGGATTATTGTAATTATTATTATTCATTACGAAGATTATGTATGTAGAATGGAGAAAACGCATCAAATGAAGACTATTAGGTCTGTTCATTTTCGCTACACCGTTGAACTAGTGCAATTAGTTGAAGCGAGACAAGTATATATTTTCTCACTTCAACTTATTGCACTAGTTCAGCGGTGCAGCGAAAACGAACAGACCTATTGACAGGAAATAGGTGCAGCTAAAGGTGTGTTTTACTTAACGCTCGCAACGATCGCGCGCATCATCCTATTCTTGTTTTCCTTGAATGTTAAACAAAGACAGAACGATGCTTGCGATCGTTGCAAGAGTTAAGTGGAACCTGCTCTAAGTAGTTTCATTTTGAAAATAGGTGCAGATGGTGTATGAAACATAATCGTGTAAAGTGGTGTCTCTTTGCTCGTGTACGAAAGATTGTCTATTAAATAGTATTGTGTCATCTGACGTTTCACGTGGAATTTGTAACAAAAACTACTTTAGAAAGAAACAGAAATATGCCAACATACGAAATGCCACTATTTTTGCGTATTATGAAAAAGGTACTTTAATATATTATAGGTTATGTTTTGTCACAATCTATATATCATATGTATAACGTTAATTATAATTTATCTAAATGGATACGTGTTATACAAATAATAGCATTCTTTTCTAATAGCACTTAATTTTCTGTATGTGAAATAAGCTTATGTTGAACAGTCATCAAGAATTTGATATATACTTTGTAGCCAGATGTGGTAGCAACTTTAAAGAGAACGAGTGAAACAATATTTAAGACAGGTGGTTTTATTAGAAAAATGGAGAATTGGGGAACTAAAGATTTGCCATACAAAATGTCTGCCAACGGACAAGTTCATCGTCAGGCAAAGTAAGATTGTATTTATATTGTTAATAATATTAATTGGAATATTTAGGTAAACTAACTTTGTATAAAATCAGAGCAAACGAAATAGATAGCCTATTGTTTTATTAGTATGTTCAATCAAAATGAAGGGATCTACTCACATGTCTTATTCCACATATTTTCAGTCGCTTTTTTATATGTTTTGATGCACCTTCAAATTCAATAGACTATATCCTGGATGAATGTAAAAGAGATATTGATGTCGTTAAACTACTTATATTTAAACAATTCGTACCAGTCAAGAAGGAATGTACGTTCCAAGAAGAAATGTTGCCACCAGCATACAGGTATGATTTCTAATCTTTTTTCGTAACTTACGATGTAATTTGTAATAATCTAATGAATATATTATTTTATTTATATAGGCCTAGCGTTCAAAAACTTATAGAACAAGCGAACAAGCAGAAGAAAGACAAAAATAAATTTCAGTATAACAGCGGACTGGACTATTATCCTTTTAAGAAATAAGTATATTTTTTTCTTTCTGTCCAGTGTAGTATCATGTTATATTTGTTTCTCGAAATAAAATATTTATAAAACATTAAACAATATATTATTAAAAATATCAATTGGAAAGTCTTCTTACTCATTAACAATACCCGGAATTAGGGTCGAAAACGTTTAAAGAGAACGTGACACAACTATACTCCACACCGATTATCCATAATATTTGATATAAAAGTCACTTGTTGATGCATTATTTATTAACTCATACCACATTATACACATTATGAAAAATTATATTTCTTCTAACCATCAATATATATTTGTACAAAATACTTAATATATTTATATATATGTATATATATATATATATATATATATATATATCATTCATTATTATCATTATAATAATTATTTTTATTATTATCATCATTATAATTATTATAATAATTGAATAATTAGTTTATTTCACGTGCAACATAAATTTATAAGACAATTTGGTCACACCGTTCCATCGTAGCAGCTAGCCGGAGCCTAGTCGCTGTCTGTTGTATTACAACTTGCATTAATATTACGGCCGCACTCGCCGGATCTTATGACGCGCGATTCACTGATCAGTCATTCTTTCGCAGATTAAAGCAGTCCATCATATTATTGAATGTAAACCATTTAAACACGACAAAATGTGTCTTCGATATAACAGAGAGATGCGACCATATTAAGTGTAGGCGCGTGTCGAAATTATTAATGCACGTCATCGTACGATATATAACATTTGTATATGTACATATGTTATATATATGTATATGTATGTATGTATGTGTGTATATATGTATATATGCATGCACATATGTGCGTATATGCGTATATGTATGTATGTATATATACATGCACATATATACATAATATATGTAACGTTTAACAAATATAACAGCGGTTATCCAAGCTAGCGCTCATCATGTACACACGTTGTCTTTGTTCTTTTGTAACGTAAGAAGAATGTTTCCCGTCCTGAGAACTACGTGGTCGCGTTGTAAATCGTGCGATACAACAGTCCGAACATTGTACTACAGCGCTTACATACATCATATATATATATACGTAAAAAGATAGCCCCCTCGAGTGTGTAAACCAGGAAGCGGTGTATAAAACCTACGTAGCTCCCTTTCGCGAGGTACGCGGTTTCGCTTTATCACACTTCGACGATAAGTATGATCAACGTCTGTACCGAATCATCGCTAGAAATAAAATTGACGGGAAGATACCGGGAGCGAGAAAAGTTAAATTAAATAGTCCGTACTAGTTACACAACCTAGATATAGTTTTAATCAAGCCGTTTTCTTTACCTCCTCTTCAACTTATCTCTTATGTCACCTCGATTTCGGGGGAAGTCTTATGCCTGTATGTCGTTTCTTTCGTCCCTTTGTTGTCGCGTCGAGCGATGCCCCACACGCATCGTTCGTTATATCTTGGACCTCGATGAACATTTATTATGCGCGATACGCTATACATATATCTCTAAAGGAGTAATTGCGTGGACACGGGAACAGGGGAGACAGGTGAGAACGGTTTGCCACGGCGAGAGAGAAAGAGAGAGCGCGCGGGGATGGATGTTCACATGTGTCTGGTGTTCCCGAAGTTGATGCCGCTCTGATTAGCGCCCTTATTACTGCCATATTGTAGACTTATCACACCTTGGCCGGCCCTCAATTGCTCCTCCGTGAAGTTGCGCACGTTCTTATCCGCTTCTTTGGGGCCGATGCTCGGTTTGCCGAAATTACCCGCCTGAGGAAATACAACGTGTTATTTTTCCGCGACTGAAGGGAATGAAATACGTGCGGTGGGAAGACCGATCTTCGTTTCTTTTCGCGAAATCACATCGTTTTGACTCTCTTCAGCGCTCGCTCGAGCTTTTTCTTCGCAATTTTCTAACACTTATTATTTATTATCAAGTATCACGACTGGATTTCAAATTGTGACACTGCCGAAAGCTTTCTGTACAAATGGGCCGAGTGATAAATGTTTGTCGTGAATTGAATTTTCCGCATAAAGTGTGTTCGTTGTTACGCGTTTGCAACGATGACAGACGCCGAGAATGACGAAAAGAAGAAAGGAAGAAAAACTGCGCGAATCGGCGAGTGGCGTTCGGAGTCACCCGGTATATAGCCGCGCTTGCACAATGGCACACCGTACCTTTCTTCCGAGAGATTGCAGGCAAATAACAACGGAATTCAGATTCTGCCTCTCCCAGAGGTCCACCGTCTGGAAGGTTTCCTGCGCCGGAACGCCTAGTGCCTTCGCGGCCTCCAGGAAGGCGTTTATATTCTCCATACATTTGAACGCCAGCGACGTCTTGTTGATCTTCTTCACCGAGCCCTCCTTGATGTCGTTCACCAGCCTAGCGAAAAACAGAGAGGAAAAGGGAGAAGCGATTACGGAGAGAAGGAACTTCCACCTCGGCCGGCCGAAAACCGGTCCTGACCGGCGCTTTTCGTCGCTTTTCCGACTCCCTCCCTTTCTCTCTCTCTTTCTTTCTTCAAGTACCTGCACAGCAGAGTGCCGTCCTTCAGGGTCTCGTAAAAGTTGTCCATGTCGCCGTTGGTGTTTATGTTCTCGCCGGTGATCGTTTTGATCCACTCCAGGCATTCCTGCGCCAGCTCCTCGCTGTACTTGCTGTTGATCTGCAACAACACGAGTAAATTTTGCGTTCAGTTAGACACTTCGACGGCTGTCCTCTCTCTCTCTCTCTCTCTCGGAGAGGCAGACGCGATAACGATGGCGATTATCGGCCAGCGCTCTTCCGAGTTCTCGGCGAGGCTTTCAGTCGGCGTTCGCTTTGGTGTTACGCGGAGAGAGCCGGTTATTAATTATGCGATGTGCCGGTGTAGTGTACCAAGTAACGCATCCTGTAGGGGCTGCGACATTACCGGAGTCACTGACCTAACTCGTTCCAACACCAGTTCGTTGTTCCTTCGGAACGCGTGGTGCAGCATCTTCCCCTTTGCCGAATACAACCGCCGTCTTATTTTAGGGGACGCGAGGGACGCGGCGAAAAATCCGGCGAACCGGAAAAGGGCCGATCTTTTCACGACGATACGACACAGAGCGGTTGTTATTTTCTTATATCATTTGCGGCATCAAAAGCAGGCGTACAGAGAGAAGAATAAAAACACAAATACGAGAAGCAAACCGGCCAATGCGATCTTACAAGTAACGTAACATTTTGCGAAGGTAAAATTTTATTTTCGCGTATTGTTTTTTTTTAATCGGCGACGCAGGTCGATTTTACCGACGCGTTTGACTATTCGCCGTGTGAAAATTGCCGACCGAAATTTCGACTCGAGAAGGATGGAACACCCTGTATTAAAAAGGACGGGCCAACTGCTACGCGGCTTTCTATTCTGGCGAACGGTTACCTATACGCATGATCGCCTAAAAAGGAGAGGTTTCCAAGGATGGACCGTCGGCATTCATCTTCCTGCAGCATGCATATTCCGTTAGATATACGGTGCCTTGAATCGTGATGCGCTTCGGGGGAAACGGCGGATATAGAGGGTGCTCCGTGCATATTGCGTCGCTCACGAATCCTCGATCTTCCAGCTCTCGGGGGATTTCATTTTACCGATTCATCTGTCTTAACCATCGAAAGTTATTTGGAAATTTGGTTTGAATTTACTTCAACGATTGAGACTCCGGTTCCCTCGACGCGGCCATCTTGGCTAATGACGCCGAAAGCGAGGAAACGTACGGCCAAAATTCCCGCGGAATCTTGTTGAAATGAAAGGATATGTCCACAAAATGAGACTACTTTGATGATCGATTGAACATATTTGTAAAATGTTTCGAAAACTTTCCTTTCGCTTTAACAATCGATAAATAGCCGCAGAATTAACGTCGTGAAATCATGAGAAAAGTCAGATTTAGAAGCAAGGTCGCATGTTACATTAATTTTACGGTTATTTATCGATTGTTGAGAGCAAAGGAGGAAAAGTTTTCAGAATACTTGACAAGTGCACTTGTCAGAATACTTGACAAGAGTGCACTCGATCGATCACTCGAGTGTCACTTTATATCGACGTATCTTTTTATCTCAACGTACAGACACGCTAGAACAACAAATGTTTGTCAATATGACAACAGAAAACAGTGACGGCAGAACAAAATTTGTTTGGACAGCAGAAAGATTTGTTAAAAGTATTAATTATTCATATATCCAGCAAATAACAATGAATACTCTTAGGCCGGTATTCATAGTCGGATCTTATATTTGAGACCGTCTTAATCTTCCGATGCTCTACGACTCATTTCATTGGCCGCGAAGCATCTGAAGATAAACTTAAGACGGTCTTAAATATAAGATCCGACTGTGAATGTCGGCCTTAACAAATCTTTCTGCTGTCCAAACAAATTTTTTGCTGTCTAAACAAATTTCTTTCTGCTGTCACTACATCGACAAGCATTTGCTGTTCCAGCAAAATTTCTTTTCTCCGTGTATCGAGAAGCAAGAATTTTGCATATGGGAATTTTAGAAGTTGGGCGTTTCCTCGTTTCTGACGTCATCAAACAAGACGACTGCGCCGAGGGACTGGCAACTTGAAACAAAAAGTAATATCTATTCGAATCTCCGAAGTTTCTCGACTATCGGAGAATTTTCGGCTTCCATTATTTATCGTTGGAAACGTTGCGGTTGTCTTGATGCCGCGAAGAGATCGCGAAGTCCGATTAAGGAATTCGTGGAAAAATGCAGGCACGGCAGGTGCGAAACATCCTGTGCGCGTCGCATCACGACGGTCGTGCGCGTGCGCGAGTATCGCATACGAGTTTAATTATAATAATATACCGTCTGCGGCCCGCGCGGCATCTGGCATCCGCGCGAGTGTTTTTACGGAGGATGCAGTTTCGGATTTTCGGTGCGTCATTGTACAGCAATTCCGATATGCCAGCTTGAAACTATTTCCGCGCCGTGTTTCCTCTGAAAACATTATCGCCCCATAAAGAGCGCGAATGATAGCGCGCTTAGTGATGCAAATGTATCGCATACGCGTAAAGTACACACGTTTCCCGGCGTTTTCCCAACGGAGATTATTACCCGAATTACTTGGAATTGTGTAATACCGGCACCTCCGTATAAACATAAATGCGACCGTTGCGCCGCTGAACCTTCACACACACTATATACATATATATAACGTGTACAATAATATATTATAAAAAAATAATAATATCACTTCCTCGATGTAGATGGCATTTCTGCATATTTATATTAAATTTTTTTGAGTTATATTATTTATATTAAATTATAAATTTTTTTGAATTTTATTATTTATATTAAATTATATTTATATTAAATTTTTTTGAATTAAATTATATATATATATATATATATATGCGTCGTGACGATCACTACCGCGTCTCATTAAATTACACATCAAATATAATTAATTGCGTTTGAAATTAGATCGTACAGCCTATAGAGAGCCAAAGAAACGAGGCATGCGAAAAATATATCGCGTCTCGAATCATTTTTATTTATCGTATTCATCCTTCTTTTTGATAATTCAATCAAGAGTCAAGTTTTTACATAATTAATGGAAATTAATTCGGCCAGCATGTTAACAATTTTCTCGTTCGGCACACACTCGAAAATATAGTTTCACAAAACCGCACCGGCGCGGAACTTCTTTTCGCAGCGACGGAAGCGTCAGCAAAATTTCGCGCGCGCGTATTTCATCGTTTCTCGTCTTACGAACGCTGTATCGCTGTAAACGCAGTAAACTCGCGCCGTATCGAATCGCTGTACACAAATCACGAAGTCGGCGCAGTGGACAATGTCGTGACACGAATCTCGCGCGAGCTATTCTCATGCTCGCGGTATTCACTTTCACCCGAGACGTCGGCTGGTCCGCCGCGAAAATTAATCTGCATCTGACTTGCTCGCTGAAAACTTCCTTATAGGTGCACATTAAGTCATTTCGCGGTTTCAACACCGAGAGCGCGAATCGGGAACCGAATATGGGCGCCGTGGAACGTCGAATGCTGCTATCGTACGTCAGTAGATCTTCGGCCTAATGAGAATTCCTCTTCGTTCTATTCTAAACTTTATCGCGTAAGGCAAAAAATTGTTTTCAGTCGCGTAGCCGTGGACGCGCGTGATTTATTACTCGCGTGCATGTGTGTATGTGTGTGTGTGTGTGTGCGTGTTGCTGAAACCTATAAATTAATAATTTCATATTCTGCGCGCAATGTTTGCAGTTATTAATTGTACTTGATATGTTCTCTTAGGTCCGTATTCTAACCCTCTAAACTCTCTTTTATCAATAAGTGTTTTAAATGTGGCTTTCGAGCCAATCAGATGGTTTCTTTCAGAGGCATTTTTATCGATATAAAAGAGTTCAGGACACGAGCCTTTGTAAGTAATTAAATTAACAGATTAAATATATATAATAAATTTATAATTTGTACGTAATACGTGTGTGTGCGTGCGTGCGTGCGTGTGTATGTGTGTGTGTGTGTGTAAAAGCATATGGAAGATTATAGAAGCACAAGCGTTGAGAATTCTTTCTTTCATATTATTTTTCGTTATTGGAAGTACAGCCATGCCGCGCTAATTAACGTTCGAAAAAATATTTTTAAAAAATTCACAAATGTTTGGAAGTAAATAGATAATATTTTCAATACTTATTGTAACATTTATTAAAAAATGATTTTCTATTAACGTCTATGGTTTTCAAAAATATTTTTTATAAATGTTATCGCATTTATCAAGATCTGTCAAAAAATGCAAAGATTTATATAATTAAAAAAATGATTTCTTGTCTCTTTCGCTCTTTTTTGGAAAGACCAGCAGCAATATCCTGTCTGTCATTTTCGAATCGTCGTACACAATCAAAAAGCCCGAATCAAAAAGCCCGGCAAACTACAAAAACTGCAACAAAAATTTCCTCGTTACTCCTAATAATTTCGGAAAAAACACGTTGTAACATTTTACGTGATATATATGAAATTTACAATAAACTCTAATAAAATAAATTAAATAACAGCTAATCTGATCTAATAAAACCGAATAAATAACTAAAGGCTACAAGAAATAGGAATTTCTCAGCATATTTTGCAACGCGGAGCGTAATATTTTCGCCTGTGTGATATCAGTCATAAAAATAATTGAGAAATGGGAAAGTTTCGCTCGTAAATTTCATAGAAAAAGTCATTTGGTATGTGCACGGTCGTTTACTTTTATGCTTTGTCTCGCACAGTTGCACATTCCACAATGATAACGGAGCGTTCCTTTTTTAAAGAGCACGACGTGATACTCCGCGGTGACCGTCACAATGTGGAACGCGATTGCTTCTATATTTAGGCATTAAGTAAGCGCACGATAATTTCATTAACGTGAAAAGAGTGACAGGCGAGGCGGTTTTCGCATACGCGCGAAAGGCGCGTAACACTTTGGAACGCGCGCTTTTTCGTACGCGAAGCACGACGCGAAGCGGACACTGCGATAACGTGACATCAATTTCGCCTTCCTCCTCGACGATAACGACCGCTCGAACCTTAAATCTAACTGGCAATTAAATATTTCGTCGCAGTCGGCAATATTTTACGGAATTGTATGTGCTCATAAAAAAATATTAACAACAGGATAAAATTAAAAAAAAATACGATATATGCGTAATTTTCAAAA